AAAATTCTTGACTATGCAAGTAATCAGTTAAATTTTATTAAATGAGATGACAAGCTGGAAATTCCATTGTAATGCAACTGTAGAAATGTTAGGTAGACTTATGCACTACTGTTAGGAGAATGACAAGTTTTGAGAAGATTTCCAGTGTGTGCGTTCAGGATGGACTGGGAAGGATGAATTGAAAAAAATCATCAGAATGGAACTGTGAAGAAATTCTTAGTTGGTGAATTAATATTCCACTGGCAAAATAAAGGATTCTACCCAGGATGGAGTAAGGAATATCAGCAAGTTAGCAAACAGTGCAAATGATATGAATTGTCAGACACTAAAACACTCGTAGAGATGTGATCCCAAATAAAAAGAAATGAGGTGAGACCTTACACAGTCCTGGTTTTATTCCCAGAAAGTTACAGGGCAGGAAAAGGGGGACCCCTGCACCCCCAAACCTGCCTGCCCTAAATAGGTTCTGCCATCTGCCACGTCAGACAAAACATAAGACCTTTCGTGGAAAGGAACTTTAATACAATCAGTGTACAATATAGAAAAGACAAAGAATTTAGTTTCTAAGCAAGCTCCTGAAGTTACCTGTCCCCTTGTGGGTAAAAGTCCACCCAAAAGGGATTGGCCCAAAGCAAGCCCTGAAAGCCCACCACAGGCTAAATAAAGCACCTTCTGGTGAAGACCCATAGAAAAGGGTCAGAAATGGCCAGACAAGCCTGGGGCGAAAAAAACGAAATCAAAATCAAGACAAACGCTGCCATAGTGAACTTCCCCACAGGTCTTTCTCCCAGGACCAAGAAACAAGAGCTGTTTCTTCACAAGTCTCTCTGTTCCATGAGCCTCCCTCAGGTCTCCTTCTGGCTCTCTATCCTGCTTCCTTCCTCTTCAGGCTTCTCCAGATTCTTCTCCTCCTTGCTCAGCTCCACCCTCTTTTGGGTGGGACAGGGAACCTGGAACCTCCCCTTTCCTGAAGACCATACTGTTACAGAACTACTTTCAAAGCATGGGAAAGTTCACATGGGAGAACTAAGCAAAGCTGGGCTGAGGAGATAATGATAGTATTGGGGAGTATGAGATAACTGGAATTGAAATATTACAAAAGAAGAACTGGTCCCTCCCTAGTGGCGCAACAGGTTAAATCACAGCACTATGAAATGAAGCCATCTATCCACAGTCACTGAAGCAAGTGGTCGATCCCTCGCCAGAGAGCTGACCTACTTGGCTTGGCAGACCTCTCCTGCCTTGCCCACTGCTCCCCTCCGCAGTGGATTTCAGTAGATCTGTCTGCTCTGCTCCTAGTAGATCTGCTCTGTTCTGTCTCTGATGAATCCTCTCACCTCCCACATCTCTGACCTATACCTCATATATGTGTAAATAAAAAAAAAATCTTTAAAAAAGAAAAGAAAGAACTGAACATAGACTTTCAGAAGCCTCTTTAACTCCTGCACATAGATCAAGTGTGACTCCAAGAGTCTCGGCAACAATCAACTACCAAGGAAAGAATCACTGGAGAATCATTAACTGAACGACTATGGAATTCACGGGGAAAAAGAAATGAGAATACAGAGGACAAGTAGAAAAAAAATTAAGGTAAACTGAAACTCAACAGATCTATAATTACATTAAAATGTAAGTGAATTCAACATACTATACTAACATACTATAAAAGACAGAAATTATCAGACTTTTTAAAAAGCAAACAAACTATTAAAAATACATATTAGGCCCTCCCTGGTGGCGCAGCAGGTTAAAGCACTGCACTGAAAAGCTAAAGCCACTTCCACATGAGTTCGATCCCCGCCTGCCCCAGAGGTGACCACATGGCCCGGCAGACCTCTCCTGACCCGCCCACTGCTCCCCTCAGCAGTGTACTTCGTGGATCTGCCTGTTCTGCTCCCCACTCTGTCTCTGGTGAAGCCTCTCACTGCTCCTGAGCCTCTGGCATGTACCCCAGCTCTGTATGCACAAATAAATAAATCTTAAAAAAAAATACATATTAATATAAAGGTATTAAAGGAACAAAAATTTAAAAAGAGGAAATGGATACACTAATCATAAGCAAGAAGGAATGGCTGTGTATATCAGAGAAAGTCAATTACAGGAGAAGAAATATTACAAGGATTAAAAAAGCTGCCATGATAAAAGGATCAACTCATCAAGAATCTTAACAGCTCTTACTATGACTCAGAAATTCTACTCGTATGTGTTGTCTGAAGGAAAGAAAAGACAAACACACTAAATGACTTTTACTTGAATACCCAAAGCAGCTTTATGTAATCCAGAACCTAGAAATTTTGCTAAATAATTCAGGTCTTCTTCAACAAATGAATGGATTATAGAATACTATTCAACAATTAAAAAAGAAAAAAAAAGAAGCTACTTCTACAAAACACCATTGTAATTCTCAAAAACAAAATAGCCATCCTCAAAAGGACACTCTTTAACTCTATGAATTTGGAGTTCTAGAATAGGTTAGACTTGTCTTTAGTTATGTAAATTAGTTCACAGAGGCCTAGGGAATTTGGGAGTTGTAGAAATGTTCTATTTTTATTGGAGTCATTGTTTCAAAAGGGTATGCATTCATCAGCTATCCTTTTAAAATGTAAAACTGATATCTCTGTAAATTACAACTCAATAAGTTGACTTTCAATAGGAGAAAGTTTTAGGAGTGTTAATTAAGTAAAATACAACAGTTTGAAAAGGGATCACTGACAATTGAAAAGAACAAGTTTCATTACAAGGAAATTGTTAGTGATTTTAGAACTTGTTTATTGAACAGAGCTGTAAAATTTAGGATGCCTGGCATTTCAGTCATGCTGATATAGAGTAAGAAATTTAAATAGAGAAAAACAGACATTTCTATTCCAATTCGTGCTTCAGACTTTGATGTGCCTAGGAACCACTTTGTTACAATGCAGATTCTGAGTCAGAATGTCTTGGAGAAACCTAAGATTCTCTAGATCTACAAGATACCAGATGATATAACTGTTGTTGATCCATCTACTACATTTCAGCGTGAACACAGACCACTTTTGTGGTTTATAAATTGGGTCTAGAAATTCCCCAGACCGCTGTATGTACTCCTACAAGTTTCATGTAGGCTGAAAACCGAGACACCCTTATATTTTAAGAATGTAACCAGCACCGGTGCTTAGGATGCTGTAGAAAATAATGATTTTACATCAATTAATTGCATGGGTTCAAGTGCCGGTTCTGATTTTAGTCAAATGATATTCTGAGTTATTGACACCTACACTGACAAAATAAACACTTCCCGAAAGTGTCAGATGAACTACAAAATAAAAAAAAGAAAGAAAGGAAAAGGAAAAGGCTTGAAATGCCAGGCAAAGTGGGCTAAAAAGGAATTTAAGAAAGGGGCGGGACCTAAAATTAAGAGGTTGGCTCCAGGAATATCCGCGTGGGCATGCAAGGACTATACCACAATATACGATGTGGGGCGCCGCATTTTTAAGAAAAAAATCTGTAACCTATAAGCGCCTGTGTTTCAACTCACCCCTCAATTGTGAAACTTGAAAAATGCGCTTTTCCTTCCCTAACTCCTTCGGCGGGCACCTAGCTCCAAAGGCAGGTGCTATTTTGCTTCCGTCTCCCGACTTCGGCCGAGCCCCACCCGCGCGCCCAAGTCCCTTCCTCCCTCCGCCCGTCACTTTTCTGCCCCCGCCCCCCGCGGTCCAGCCCCGGGCTGGAGTTTCCACTACGCGGGCGGGAGTGTTAGTAACCGACTGCTCTATCTGCGCGTCTCGGGAGGGGGCGTCTAGGCCGCCGCGTTCCCGAGAACGGTGAGCGCCCGAGCCGCGCGACGCCGGGACCCCAGAAACGCGAGCTGAGCCGGCGGCGGCGGCGGCGGCC